TGTGTGTGTGTGTGTGTGTGTGTGTGTGTGTGTGTGTGTGGGGGGAGATATGTGTGTATTCACATCATTTATGTTAATGAGAGTGTGGGGAGTGAGTTGGAGGGTGGGGTGGGCTGCTTTTAACTTTGTGCTACATTTTTTTGTATGAAAAGTGCTTTATAAATAAAGATTGATTGATTTAGTCCATGACGCGCTTACCTTCAGGGTTATACGTCACATGACAACCAAAATAGTTCCAAACGCCAGATCTGAATGAGGGTGGGGGAGGTTCAATTTGCCATGTTGCAACGAGCTTAGCTTCTGTCTCGCTAGCTTGCCCTGCGCTCAGTGAATCTGCGTTCGACTACTCCGCCTAGGCTGCACGGTCGAGCGCAGATCCACTGAGCGCTCAACACAGATAGCATCATCAGAAGGAAAGTTGATAAAATTTAAAATTTTGTATTGTTTGGTACATGTGCGTACCGAACCGAAAGCACTGTATCGAACGGTTCAATATCGATACGAGTATCGTTGCACCCCTATAATTTTGGTATATTTTCATTTACATGTTTTTAAAGAAATTGCATGCTCTTCAACCAGCATCAACACAGTGATGTTTGTCCTTCATGTCCGTTGTCTTGTCTGTTTCTTCCACCTTCTCAGTGACCTGTTTTGACTCCGATGTAGAGTAAGAGCTGCCAACAAAGGGAGGGCTAGACAATTAGTCATACTTATCTTTTAACTAAGGCTTGGTAATGGTATGGTAAAATATGATCTGCTTATGGCTTTATCATAACCATCCTCCTCTCTTGTCAGAAATGAGTCGCCAGACTGCCACCGCGCTGCCCACAGGAACATCTAAGTGCCCTCCTTCTCAGCGTGTGCCCACCCTTTCAGGCACCACAGCCTCCAACAGTGACCTGGCGAGCCTGTTTGAGTGTCCTGTCTGCTTCGACTATGTCCTCCCCCCAATCCTCCAGTGCCAGTCCGGACACCTGGTGTGTACAGTCCAGCCTGTAACTGAACCTGAACTGTTTGTTGTTGTTGCTAGGAAAATTTCTTGCGGAAGCATAAGTGTGAAGATTAACATTTTAGTAAACTTGTCATATATATATATATATATATATACACACACACACACACACACACACACACACACAAACAAACAAACACAACACACAAAAAGAAAAATAAAAAAATTTTTTTTAATAATCCCCAGGTGTGCTCCAACTGCCGGCCTAAGCTCACTTGTTGCCCCACCTGCCGAGGTCCCCTGGGTTCCATCAGGAACCTGGCCATGGAGAAGGTGGCCAACTCTGTCCTTTTCCCCTGCAAGTATGCCTCATCAGGCTGCGAAGTCACCTTGCCTCATACCGACAAGACCGAGCACGAAGAGCTTTGCGAGTTTCGGCCATATTCCTGCCCCTGCCCCGGCGCCTCTTGCAAGTGGCAGGGATCATTGGATGCAGTCATGCCTCACCTGATGCACCAGCACAAGTCCATCACCACACTGCAGGTTAGAAGTTACTCAGCTCCTCAGTTTCTTCCACAAAACATGCTCCTAAAAGTGTGTGCCATTTTTACTAAGTGAGGATGAGACACTTTGAAGACTCTGAATTGATGCTATTTAAACACGGATCGTACAGGGTTTGCAATTAAGTTTGTGACTTAGAAATAAACTCTTAGAAATAAACTAGAAATAAAAGTCTGAATAAACAGCGTAGAGTTTGTTCTAATGAAGTGGAAACATGGAAAACATTTCATACTCCATCCCACTAAGCTGATGGGGAATTTTGAGTGTGCCCTCTGCTGGACAGCAAAGGAAACAACATACTGTGTAAATGTGTGTTAATTTACAAATGAGTTGTTATAGCCTGCAGAATTTGTTCATTTTAATATCATGATTACTTTTAAATTGAAGGAACACTCCAGTAGTTTACACCACCGCTAGGTGGGCGGAGCTTCTCTGGCAACAGGTGAGCTTTTGTGCTCACAGCTGAAGCTGCCTGAGATCACCACATAAGGAAATCATCTCTCACTGATGTCATGCAAAGCCTGAGCGGCTTGTACATATAGTTGTATGATCTGTTCTGAAACCATGGAGAATCTTTGCCCCTACAACGAGAACATCCATGATGGTGGTTATCTTATCTGGCAACACTGACGTATTAAAGTTGGCATGCTACTGCAGCCAGCAGTACTACAGTACTTTTTTTTTTCTTTTTTTTTTTTTTTTTTTGAAGTGGTTTAGCCTTTTAATTTGTGGGATGACTTTTGGCGTAATTGTCTTAGAAATTTGTTTTTAAAGCCGTAAGATTGGACTGCAAGACAACACTAATGATTACTCAGTGGCTCATATCTTACTTGGTCTTGAGAATTTTAGATGGTTTGATGTTAACAATGAGTCGACGTATCCATTGTGCAAGAGGTGGGGGTTGCATGGAGACTTGTCTCTGCTTGTTCTTTACTGTTATGCTAAAAGTCAGCCTGCAACAAGATAGCCGGATGACAAGTGCAAATCACAACCCCTTTCAAAAAGACAAGTGCATAAGTCATTATGTCAACTTTAATGTGTTTCTCAGTCTCCCGAGTCCGAAAGTCGCGGTCTGGCACACCTTTGAACTTTCCAGTGGTCGAGGTCTCATAACGGTGTGGTTGGTATCATGAGCATACTCCCTGTCAAATACTGGCCAGATTATTCCAGAAAATTGCGTTTAACATGAGAACAACAAACAACTTGTTCCTTTTGCAGCTTGTTTTATAACATGTATTTATTTTGAGATCATGATGATGTAAAAGATCTTTATGTGAGCAGCGTTGGGTGTTAACTTCAGGCTGACGACTAAAGATGATTAACCCTGTTTGTGTCTCCGTCCAGGGGGAGGACATCGTGTTCCTGGCCACAGATATCAACCTGCCTGGTGCGGTGGACTGGGTAATGATGCAGTCATGCTTCGGCTTCCACTTCATGCTTGTGCTGGAGAAGCAGGAGAAGTACGACGGACACCAGCAGTTCTTTGCCATCGTGCAGCTCATTGGGACTCGCAAGCAGGCCGAGAACTTCGCCTACCGACTGGAGCTCAACGGGCACCGGCGTCGTCTGACCTGGGAGGCCACGCCACGCTCCATCCACGAGGGCATCGCCACAGCTATCATGAACAGCGACTGCCTGGTGTTTGACACATCCATCGCACAACTGTTTGCTGAGAACGGCAACCTGGGAATCAACGTCACCATCTCCATGTGCTAAAAACTTTGAAGAGAAGAGGATTTAAAAAAAACAAGTTACATATTGTTAGGGGGCATTTTTTTTTCTTTGTTTTCTTTTTTTTATTAGACCTCACAGTGCCCCACCCCTCTCTGCCTCACTCCTTCAGACATGGATTTGGACTGTCTAATTAGGCAGCCATGGAGGCCTGGAGGGGGGAAATGGATGGCTGAATGTTTGGATGGATGAGTGGAGGAAATGAAACAAAATAGCATAACTGTGTAGTGACGGCTATAGACTTGGAAACACATTACGTGAGACCCACGCGGGGCCTCGCCCTCTGTTCGTCGTAAACGCGGACAAACTGTCAAACTCCCTTCCTGGCCACGTGTCCCCTGTCTTAGAGTGATTTCTCACAACTCATTCTCATCGCACTCTCTCTCTCTCCACACACACACACACACACACACACACACACACACACACACACACACACACATTTCAGACGCACACATTTCAGACACTACGGCTCTTCCCGAGTGGAACGTGGAAGGGGCTCCAGTCCCTGACTTGAAGGATCAAGCTATAGTTCAAAACGGACTCCTGGTCAGTGCTGGAGTGCTTGCAAGACAGCTAGCACTTCCTGTTTGTAATCCACCTCAGTACCCCTCAAGTCCCCCCACACTTTCCCTCACTCGGACTGGAACGGTTCCCACGCTCCCCACCCTCGCAGGGCTATGGCTGTGGCTGCTATTGACTATGTCAAACTGGAACCCCGAGTCCCTAAAAATCTTTATCTAAAATGTATCTTCGCCTGTGACTGGGGATCATCACTCACAGACATGAATGGCTGTAGCACCCCAATCCCCAAGTAACGTCCAGGAAAAGAAGCTTGGATCTGTGTAAAGGGTCCCGGGATTACTACAGCTGCGCGAGCTAGTTTTGCTTTCTTCTGCTCCACACCGGTTCCTCCCCCCAAAGCTAAAGATTGCGCATCGGATGCTTGTTATTAAATTGTTGACTGTCATCATCAATTATTAAACTTTGCTGTCATACTGGTTGGATGTAAGAAGGCCCTCAGCTACGTCAGCCCTGGAGTTTTATTTTCAAAGTGGACACATCAACGGCTTTCTGACATGCCAAACGCACATTGCTCTTTGCATTACAGGCTCTGTGTGCAGGTGTAATAAATTGACCTAGGAACAAAGGGGTCCTTTTTGTTTTTTAGAACAAGGAGGAAAAAACCTAAACACTGCATTTCAGTTGGAAGAATTATTTCTCAAGTCTATTTCTTTGGAACTATATTAGTGGTTTTTTTTTTTTTTTGTGTGCGCGCGTGTGCACTGTCTTTGCTGAAAACCTGCTCATTTTCTCACGTCTCTTTCGTTTGTGCTCGGCCTCGTTTCTCTGTCTGCCCGTGTCTGCCTCACCGATTGACTGATCACCCAACAAGGAATGAGGGACAGTTTCTACCGTTACAATGTTGCTATTGTTATTATTACATGGAGATTATGACAATTATCGGTTTTTGTATTGAATTTTAAAAACAAACATTAAAAGGCAATTGTAAAAGTTGTGGCTAAACTTCAGTGTTTGTAGTTTAAAGGAAAAAAAAACAAACAAGTTGTCATTCTATTGAAGGTTTCTTTTCTTCCAGAGTTGGGTTGCTTTATTTTATTTTCTCTTCATTTATTTGTCCCGCTGTCCTCTCATTTGTGTGGTAAGTCTTCCCCCTCGAGCCCTTTTTGTTTTGTTTTTTTTGTTCAAGGATTGAGGGAGTTCAAGCCAATCATCTCTCCATTTCTCCTCATGTGGAGTCTCAGTAATGTTGCTGCTCTCCCTGAAGTCCTCCACTTCTGTTTTAATTTGTCATTAAATAAATCTATCTTTTTCATAATCTGTGCTTTTTCTTCATTTTTTTTTTTTTCATTATTTTCTCTGAGGCTTTTGGATTCAACACGATGACTGTAAAACTGACAGTACCTCAGTTTTTGACAAGCAAAGAAATTAATGTAAGGAACTCTACATCTAACATATCCAGTTCAGTGGATGCTCCTCCTGTTTGACTTTTAATTTATTTATTTATTTTTTTAATTAGATTGGTCTTCCTGTTGTAAACCTTCATTTCAGCATTTTGGAAGCTTTTGTTTTCTTTCCCAGTTTTCCAGGTTGTTGTTGAGCTTAAGATTTGTGAAGGGTGTTCAGGTAAAAATATTTCAATATCAGCATGAAGCAATGAGCCAAGTTTAAAAGACAAAACATTTAAAACAAAATTGGAATTATGATTAGAAGATCAAACACTAAAACATGATGGGGGTAGGTGAAGTACTTTTTTTTTTTTTTTTTTTTTTTTAAAGATTGTGGCCATCGTGAAATGGAATAAAATTCGTTGTAATAGTAAAAGCTGATCTTCCCGACAGTCAGTTCATTTAAAAACTTTTCAGATCTACAGGGAACAGTTTTACATGAACAACATAAAATACAATGTCCGTTTCAGGTCTATGTTGTCATTACAGGTGTCTCATAACTGTCTCATAAAGCAGGAAGAAATACAGGTAAGAGCCTTGGCAGCACATTGTTTAGCTACCGCCCCCACGATGCTGAATTGTGAAACAGAGAGAGAGAGAGAGAATTGGCGTGAAAGCCCTCCAAGCCACGTCTGCACCCCAGGCAGGCATCACTGTTCCCCTGGGAGTAAACCAGCTGTGACAGATGTTAGCCAGAAAAGTAGGGAAATGCAAAGCTTACAGCAAACACTGAGCTTTGTGCCAGACATGTTTAACATATGCGCTGATGTGATTTATAATTCAATGCAAGATCTTCAAACACAATGCCATTTAATGGAGAAAAAAAAAATCTGTTGCCACTCAGATATTTAAACATCTGAGTGGTGGAATTTAAAAAAAAAAAAAAAAAAGTTCTAGTACAGCCCTGTGATACTGCCCTTAATGCATCTGGTGGCCTCCTCCTTAGTTTCTCATTGTTAAGTGGATTTGTGGGTGTAGGGCAGCCTTTGAGGTCAGACAGGTAGGTCAGTAAGAAACAGGAATAGTTCTGTGCAGCTGCAGGAGTACAAGCTGTTGGTACAATGGATGCTGTCAAGTAGCACAGAAGACTGTAGGAATAGGATGGTCTGCAGGTCTGGGAGGGAACACCAGCCTGCATCTCATCAGGAGCATGCCCAGAAGCACAAGCTCACACTTAAGGGCAACTCAGTATCTTGACAGACTGGAGAAGCTGGGGAGCGCATCACTGATTTTCCAATTGGCAGACGACCCACTACATCTGAGCCAGAAAATGATACAAGGAATAGGGTTGTGACGTGACGACTCCTAGAGTGAGCAGCCAAAAGAAGAAGAATTACACCACCAGCCTGAACCGCTGATACAAGTCAGAATTGGCCTGTTCCCTCTCATCAGTTTCCTGTTCTTAGCTGACAAGAGTGGCCCCCTGTGTGACGTTGTCCTGCTGACTGGATATTTTCTCTTCTTTCGGACGATTCTCAGTGAGACAGGAAAAATATTAAGGTCAGGCGGTCTAGCACCAACAACCATGCCACAAAGCAGCTTAAAATCACAGTTCTTCCCCATTCTGATGCTCAGTTGGAACTTCAGCAGGCCATCCTGACTATACCTAAATGCACTGAATTGTTGCCATATGATTGGCTGAATAGATAGGTAACAAAAATATGGTATTTGTCCCAGTCTTAAAAGCAATAGAATCAGTGCCTCCTCAGGGTGGTTGCTATAGAAAAAGAATCGTTTTTAATTTTATCTTAGTACGTAAATATCATAATTGAAATACATTAAAAGCAACTGAAACAATATTTTCAACCTGGGTTTAGGTTTCGCTCTGTTATCACCCTGAAAGATCTCTCAAAAACTTCTCACATTCCTAGTGTGTTTGAGGCGATGAGCCTTCTATTACAATATTTAAGACATTTAAAGTAAGCAGACATAAGAGTTCATCTTTAATTTAACCCGTGATGAAAAACAGAGTTTGCCCATTTTTCTATGGAGAATGCTGCATTTTATTCTTCTTCCACATACATAGAACCATATGTGCACTGTAGCCAAAAATGTGCATATTTACAAAAATGAAATCAATATACACAAAAGAATTATAATACAAGAGAAAAGAAATCCTTCAGTAATCCTTACGATAACAACATGGCAAGTACAAACAAAAGTTATTTTTGACACCTTGTGAAGTTTTTGTGCAGAGATTCTTTTCTCACAAGATGAAGTGTTTGTATGTTCCGGGTGTGTAAGGGTGAAACCGCTGCAGCCTTCATTGCGGTACATCTGTAACTTAAACTTCTTAACACTGTTTTTTTTGTGAGCAAACTTATGATCCGTCATTTTAAATGCAAATTAATTTTCAAAGGGTAAGTTTAAACTGTTTTAGTGTTTGTTTCCATTCAAGGTCAGACAACTGACACGTGTCTGCTGCAGACAGAAACTTAACCCAGAGCGGGTCAGTTTGGGAAGTAACGTCACTTTGAAGAGATCATCAGAGCAGCAAATTCAGGTTTTCTTCAGAGATCATTTATAAAGTGCAGCTTTGAGAAAGAACACAGAACTATGAGAGAAGGGACTTTCTGCAAATATCATATGAAAAAGAAAACTCACCAATGAGATTACATAAAACAGTTTATAATGGTCTACCTTTGAAGGGGGAAAGCATCTAAAACTGGGTTTGAGAAGGTAGAGTTGGGAGGGGCTGGTTAAATTAACTAGAAACGTTTTTTGGTAGTTGTTTAAATTCAGCTTGAATATGCACACGTATTGTAACTCGGAGAAACGGCTTGTGAACAACAGCCTCTAAATGTTGGCCACGAGCACGCATAAGGGTGTTTCTTTGATGTGCTCAGCTGCCAAAACAGAAGCTTTGATGTAATTTCCTGCTTAACTTTTGACCAGCTACTGCTTTTGGGGATTTCTATTCACTGTTTATACTTTCATCCGACTGATCTCATCATGCTTCCTGAAATTCTTGCTGTCTCAATTAAAACGCAATTCCAACAGATGCACTGCAAATGAAAACAAAGTGTTCTTTTAAACTTCCCATGTTAATATTGAACGACTCCGAACTGCACAAACCGATGTTGGGTTTTGTAGCCTGGTACTGCTTGACAGTGGAAAAAGAACAAAAATGCTTTGCTGAAAGTTTCAAAACATGCAAAAACCTGCCAGCGTCACACGTGTCTCAACATAAAGCTGGAGAACAAGCTGAGAGTCTGTATTAAGAAGTCAGCAAAGTTCAGGAGAGGAAACCGGTCGTGCGCTGAGCTGGTGCCACGGTCCAAAAAGAGCGCGCCCAGTGCTGGTCCCACATTCATGGAATCTCTGGACTGTTGTCGAGAAACAAAGAAATGATTACCTAGAGACTTTTCTTGTTTGACGAATGTGGTAACTTTTAATATTTTGGTGACGCAGACACTGGTGCTGTCGATCTTTATCGACCTGTAAGTGATGGAGAGAAAAAGTAGATCGTCCCAAACGATGGGTTTCAACAGTAGCAGCTAGTTTGATGATCAGTCTCGATGAAAAATAAAAACAATTAAAGAAAAAGTCCTCCAAGCTGGAAGAGATGGTAAAATAAATTATTTTTATATATATCCTTGCGTGTGTATGCACTGCGTGTATATCTGCTGATCGTCTTAACTGAGATAGTTCTTTATCCGAGCAGCAACCCAGAAAGGGCGTTCAGGTCTCTCATGTACGGGTTGTCGCTGAGGATGCGGTCGATCCGCTGCTTCTGGTCGGGGAAGATGTCGTACAGTTTTCTCTTCAGCTCTGACGTCTCCCCCGGCGACCGCTGGGGTGGAGGTGAGGGAGAGGGTGAGGGAGAACGGCGAGGTGGGTGCCATTCTGGGGGCCCAGAGTGGGGCCAGTGCGCAGTGGTGTGGGCCGTCAGGGAGGTGGGGGTCCGCGGGGCAGAGTGAACAGCTTGCACGTAAACTGGCTGCTGCTGTGAGGGAGGCCGGAGGTCCGGGGGTCTGAGAGGCGGAGGCGTGCCCGGAGCTCTCCTGACAGGAAGAGAAAGAGAGGGTGTAAGAAGGAGCAGTGCACAGCAGAATAACCAACACTGACCCGACAAGGCCTCAGTATTTCATCACACACCAGCTGTCTTTACGGAGGAAGATGTCAAGGTGAGGTCCGTTCTTTCCCAGAGGGTCATCGGGGATCATGAAGTGGTCCTCCACAAAAGTAAACTGAAGCAATCTGCTGGTCAAAGTGGACAAATTCACAAACTGTAATGTCCAAGCAACTGTTCTTAAACTCTAGTGGGCACTTTCTGAACCCACACTGTGTTGTTTTTTCTGCAGCTTTTACATTCTTACTGTTGACATATTACATGTTCAATTGCTGATTTCGAATAACTACATTTTATTCTTGAAATTTTAACATCACTACAAAAGCTGGAAAGTACTCTGGAGTTAAGATCATCAACGCACCAGGAGATCCAGGCGATGCAGAACAATACAACAGAAGACACGCTTTCAGGTTCTTTGCTCAAACCTTCCTAGAAATGACTTAATATTGTTGCTGACAAATTAACAGCATTTTCCATGAAAGTACTGATTTGGGTACAAATGTCTGTTTTTCTCCCAATAAAAAAAAAAAGTTTTAAAAAGAATTAGTCTGTGAAAATTATTTAAAAATGTTAAGAGCTTTGTTGATGAAGAAATATGCCACACTGAGTCACAGTATGTTTACAGGTATGTGGAAATGAGAAATTTGGTTAGAGTCAGTGATGAGTCTCTCCCTCCAGTACCATGTTTATTAAACCAGTTTGAGATAAAAAATAAAAACTTTACAGTATGCGAGATTGTTGTCATGGAATTATAAGCTAAGCTAATTTTACTGAACTAGTCAGCCTGAACAAAGCAGC